CCGAACAGATGGATGACTTGGAATGGCAACAAATTTAACAGTCCACAGAATATTCTCAAAGAGTAATGGGTAAACGCACTGTCCATCACAAGTGATGCTCCTGGAGTTGACTCAAGAAACTCCTTATAAATGAATCATGGAATGGCCTACTTACAGAATGAGCCTACTCATAGTAACAGCAGTCAGGATATTTCATTACAACAGTCTGTAAATGTTCCTTTTATCACTACAGAGAGATCTACATGTGGAAAAGAATATTAATAACACAGGGAGGTTGATTTTTAATAGGCTCCGCAATTCTTGCCCCATCTGTCTCCATTTCTGCAGGTAGTACAAAGAAATCCAGCAGTGCTCTCCAACACTCCTGTGTCAAAATAGCAACCCCCAACCAGATGTTTTCCTGCACCTTCTCTCACACTGCAAGAGCCATCAGCACGCAGGTATTCCAAACAACAGACTTCACACTTTGCTGTCTAAGGACATACAGGGATGTTTTGTTGCCACTACAAAAATAAAAATAAATCACAAAACAACAACAAAAAAGAAATCTTAAAACCACAGATTTGGTCTGAGCTGGTAGTAATTATTAATTTTTGCTCCCAATGTCACCACGCTCCCTTCAAGACAGCCCTGCTACAGATTGGCCACCAATCCAGAAGGCCACAGGAAGGGCACCAGAGGGAACTTCTCATGACTCTTTTTTGAAACCGTAAGAGTGTTAAGGTTTAGAGCAGAAGAAGGTCAAAAGCCTTATTCTAAACTATTCCAGGAGAAACATTTACACATTCTCGCTGCTGAAGAGAAATGATGAAATTTTACAAGGTTTAAATAAAACGAGGCCAGTAGCTAATGCTGAAAGCTGGCATTTTACCAGCTGCCAAGAGCAGATCAATAAATAACCACCTTCAACTACAGCAAGAAAGGCTTAGCAGTATATTATCAGTGACCTGCAATCCAGGGGAAGGACATGGGCTGTGCTGTGCAGGTGTCGGTGCAGGGGGCACAGCATCAGCTTTTCCATACCAGTCCAAGCAGCTGTCCCACTGTCCCTGGTGACACCAAGCAGCTGAAAAGTCCCTCGTTTCAAGTGTTACCTTTTTCTGCCTCTGATCACCCTTCCATTTTTGTACAGAACCTGCACAGACTGAGGATGCCTTTAATGTCATAATGTTTTCATGTCTCAAAAAAAAATATTACCAGGGGAAAGCATGACTACAAAGCAAGGCAAGTGCCTGAGCTTTATTTAGGTGTTATAGAAGACACTGTGCAGAGAGCACTGTAAGGAACAAAACTGCAATGCCCTTCTTTCCTCTTAAAGTGCAATTACTGTGAATAGCAGCTTTGGAATTCAAGGATTTTTCATGGAGGAACTACTTAGTATGCATGCAGACCCCATGTGAAGACAGACAAACAAGTCAGCACGCTTGGCAAGGCCTCTTGGCGGTGGCTGTTGGGCTCAGCACTGCAGCATTACCACCTGCAGCCGGGCTGCGCTCTGCCCCTGGGGCTGCAGGAGCTCAGAGTGCACAGCCCAGAGTGCCAGCAGCTCCTCATGGGTTCACAGAACGGCTTGGGTTGGAAGGGACTTTCAAGGTCACTGAGTTCCAAGCCCTGCCACGGGCTGGGTGCTCCCAGCAGATCAGGCTGCTTTGGGCACCTCCATGGATGGGCACCCACACTTGTCTGGATGTTGGCATGGGTTGGCAGTGTGCAGCAAGGGGACAGCAGCACAAGGACTGCCGCAGGCAGACAGTGAATCTCTGCTGCACGTGACCTCAGGCCCCTGGTTACAAGACAGCAGGAGAAAACACGTCTCACGTTGCAGGCTGCCTTGCCATAGCATCCCAATAGGTGCCCAGGCTGATAAAATGGGGGTGATGGTCATGGGCAATGTACCTGTAGGTTCAATCAGAAACTTGCTGTTATTAAGCAGAATTACTATTTATAGAGCAATTGGCACCAACTTCTTCTCAGTGAATTGGAAAGAGCTCAATTAGGAGAATCTCAAACAGCTTCCCATTTTCTCTGCATTTCCATGACATTGAAATAAACCTCATTTTCTAGGCTTTTAACCAGCAGACTTCCAAAACACGCAGCAAAAATAAAGTCCTGAAACAGCCGTCCTGGCTGTGTCAGAGATGTACAGAACAACAAAACAAGACAGCAACCCATCCAAAACAGAACACAACAGCAACATTCGTGACTGAGAAAGATCCCAAGAGGAACTCAGCAGGATGTGAGCGTGCCACTGCTGATGGAGGGCTGGCACCTGTGCAGCACAGCACAGCTGCTAATAGGTGAACTATTAGCTGTGTTGCTAGGATTTTTGCATGTTAAAACAGCAATGTAGCACTGTACTGTGCTGTGAGGGTGTTCATGCTGCTGCATACAGCTCAGGAGCTTCAGGTAGAACCATGAGCTACCTGAGCTACACAATACAGGCAATGCGTTGGCACATCATCAAGGTGAAGTATCTCAAATTCCCAAATGCCTTTTTACCTCAAGCCAAAAATATCAGATTTATCAAATACAGGGCTGGGATTGGAGTGCACAGCTCTCTTCTGCAGACTGACTCTGCTGCGGCTCTGCAGCTCAATGCTGTGCTTTGTCACAAGCCTTAAAAGCTACAAAGCACACGTGTGCATTTAAAGCAAACGCACTGCATCAGCTCTGAGGCACTGCAAGAGGGCTGCTTTTCTTTTAGAAGGGATAGAAAAGACATGAGGAAAATACTCTCGAATGCACATTTCAAATAATTTCTTTTAGTTTGGAAAAAAATAGGATCTGGATTAACGATTTAACCCAGCATGAAAACAGACCATCTCTGGAACAAGCATGAAGCCAAAGTACTTGACAGAAATTAATACAGCAGCTGGAAACTGGAGTATGCAGCACCGGAAAAATCCTGACATATATTTACTACAGGTGCAATGGAAAACAACAGAATTATCTTCCAGTGATCCATAAAACAAGGAATATATCAACTGACATACAGCCGAGACTATAGCATGGATTATGGGGCTGCTAAACGCACCAGATAAAGCCATAAAACTGCAGAAAGCAGCAGCATTTTTTTTTGTTTCAGTCTGTTATTCTGTACATTTTTAATATAATTAAATACGTGAACCCAGAGTCATCTGTGTGACACTGCTGATCCAACTGTGATACAAATAACAGTCATTTGTTTCGTTATCTATGTTTCTTTCCTAGAGAAGTCCAAATGGCCAGAGTGCATCGATTATTCTCCAGCAGTGGAGCAGAGCAGCTCAGCTGGATGGGACCTTGCTGTTGTGCTCAGCGTGGAGCCAACCCTCACATGGCAGTGATAAGCCTCAGGTGTGCACCTCAGTGACAAACACAGCTGTGCACTTCTCTGATGCTCTTTGGCTTTTCGAGGGCTCAAGGACTCAAACCTCTTTTATCCCTCAAAACTCTTCTGTATTTGCAGGTTTAACATTCTCAGCTCCTTTGGATTGCAGCAGAGCACACAATACATCAGAACAGCGGGGTTTTTTATTTAAAGGCTACTGCATTTTTATCAGATGAAAGATATATAGCGAATACTAAGAAGAAAAACCAAACCAAAACCAAAAGAAAGAATGACATAACCTGAGACAAGTGAATTGTTTTCCTTTTTCAACACAATCTTACACTCCCTGGCAAGGTATTGCTTCTATGTTAAGAACAGGAGGCGAGGGGTGTACAGCTCCACAGCAGTGAATGGGAGAAGAGTCCGCATCCAGAACAAGCACGAGAAAGGTCAGCACTAAATAACTCCTCAGTACCATAGAACTCATCAGCAAACTGACTACAAACGAGGACTCCTCATAAAAGTGGTCTTCAGTTTAATCTTAAGCCTCTCTGAAAAAAAATGTAAAGCAAACACAAAGCTCAGGTATAAAAAGGAGCGATGAATAATAGACTCAGTTGAGCAGGAAGGTGAAAGCGAAGCAGGAACTAACTTGGCACCAGACTAACAGCCACCTGCATGGCATCAAAAGGCCTCAATGCTCCCTGCTGGAGCTGCAGCAAAGCAGAGGAATGTCCACAAAGGAGGGCAGCACCCAGGGCAGAGTCTGGGCCACTGGGTGCCTCTATGGCTGACCTCCTGTCCATGCCCAACAAGCGTCAGATCCACCCAACATAAAGCACCTCAGTGCCTTGCAAGGCTGCTGCAGGTGCTCACACGCTCACCAGAAGCACAGAACAGCCAACACAAAGTGCTGGCAGAGCAGGAAGAGCTGCAGCACTGCACAGACAGGATGGCACAGAGAGGGAGCACAAACCAACTTTAATTTCATTCCCTCGTGGGGCTCAGTTTAAGGCCTAATGCTATCTTAATGTGTTTCCTGGCTCCCATAATTAAATTCACTAATCCTCAGCCTTAAGGTATCAGCAAGTTAAGCTAATTTAAAGTTACTACCTGAGCTTATATCCCTCTTTATTTTTTCTTTTTCTTTTTCTTTTTCCCCTTTAGCAGAGAAACAAAGTATTGAACCCTCCCTGTGACAAGTAGGTATTTTTGTCTTGCCTTTAATTGCTTGCTCCTTCTCCACTGTTCTCATTCTGCACTTTAGAGGTTAGGGAGAAGGTTTAACATATTACCCTGTGGAGATTCAGATGCAGCTGTGTACCTAACACAGAGCTACAGAACAGAGCCTCCCTGCAGCCTGGCCACACAGCTGCCTCCCGTCCCCACAGTGCCATGGTTACACTGCACTCATAGACTCCTATCTGCTTCACAGCCCCTACTTCTCTGCTGCAGGTGCTGGGTTTGCTGAAGGTGATCCCTAAGAACCCAGCATGTCAATCACATCTCCTAGCACAGCAATCCTGACTGACATCATGAGCTAAGCAGGCTCAGGTGTAATAATCTGCACACCACAGACAAGCACAATTACCAGATAAAAATCTCACAGAAACATGACTAGTTGGAAAAATAAACGTGTCCCGTTATCTGCAACAAAATCACATTTCTCCATCACTACAAAATTACCTACCCAAGTGATGGCAGTGCAGGCAGCACGCTGCAGGCACAGGGCAGCTCCAGACAGACGTGGGCACCTTGCTGCTCGGGTACCACATACAGGTGCCTCACAGGGGAGATGCTGAATGCTCTGAAACCTCTTTTTCCTATAGACGAGAAAAAGGTTGTTAGGCGAGATCTGCAAGGCCCAATCTCAGAGTTAATGAAATACCTAGCCATCTGTTGGTCCTTGGAAGCAGTAAAATTGCTTCTGATACATTTTTTGCAACAGCAGGCAAAGTTTGTTAGGAATAACAATAACCATATGTAGGAAAAAGGTTAACTCACCAGACTGGCAAGCAGGCCTCCAGCAACAGAACGCTCCTTCTCAGGAAGCAGCCTTCACCCAGCAGACCTTCTCCTTCCAGGGGTGAGCCTTTATGTGAGCCCAGGGAGCTCATTAAGGGTCCCCCCCCCCCAGTCAGGTGGGAAGCAGAGGTGAATTGCATGCCCCCATGCTTCCTGGGCCAGCCACCCCCTGCACCAGGTGATCAATCATCAACTCAGGCCATGACAGTTCTCTTACACTAACTCAGGGCAAACTAAAAGTATAATGCTTTAAAAAAAAAAAATTGTTTTTTTTGAGGCCACACTTCCATCAATTTTCCTATCTCAGGGTTTATGGTAAAGTTTTTCATTAAAGCACTACTTCCAAAGTGGATTTCTTCCCAAAACACTTGCAAGATGCAGCACAATTACTGTTATCCCTGTCCTCTTCTATTCCAGATGCTCTCCAGCTGATGTCAATCCCAGCAATACAATACAGGCAAAAAGAATAAGACTTTTCTCTCCCATACCTGCTGGCAGCTCACTGCGAGGAGCACTGCTATGCTGATGTGTTTCTCCTCAACGCCCCTCTACAAATACTGCCATTCAGGAAAAAGTTAATCCACCCAGGTATTTCCTTCTTGAAGTTTAATTATTCCCTTCCAGGGAAACAAAACACCCTACTGCACAGAGGAACCACGTTTCACTCATTTATACCACTTATTCTTGCTGAAACGATTCTGGTGCCATAGTGCATTTTCTCCCCAATTTCTGTTTGTGCCGAATCAATACCTAAGATAAACCAGATGAAGCCAGAATGATGGATTACAAAATGTATACGCCAATAGCAGTGTATATATATTAAAATCAGCCCTCGGGTGAGCACTATCTTAATTAACATCTTATCTGGTACAACAAAAGGCACAAAGGTTGCTCTGCCGCCACCAGGAGCAGAGGACCCTGCCAGGTAGGTGCAAGAAGTGATCCATCCATCCATTGCTCTACAGGAGAGCTGCTCACCACACTTCAGCTCATCCCACTTCACATTAATTACACTTTTAAAAGGTAGTCAGGATAAGAAATCACAGGAAAATAATCACTGCTTTATTGTTTATTCCCCAATTGCACATGTAATGAGGGAAATTTTAAGTAGGGTACCTTAGAACTTACACTTTAATGATGCTTTTACTCTGGTCTGAGTGCTAATGCCCTCATTGTTATTACTGATTGCTGCTTTTTAGTGGCTGCTCCAAAATGCTCTTGTTAAGAAATCCCTGTAAGGCACTGCAGTTATACATTGCACATATTAAAGTTTCAGTTAAAGAAGCCAACGATTTCATTTATGAAAAACACATTGTGTAACTTGATGTCCTTGTTACAGCCTCTTATTAATGTATGAGGCTCAAAGTCTTGGCAAAAACCTTTTGAATAAATGCTAACATTGAAGCGTTTCCCACTGATGTGAAAAGCAGTAAATCAACATAAATTCAGCCCTATTTTGTTGTTTTCCCACCTCAAAATGCATTTTGTCACAATTCAACAACACCACGCCAAGAGCACTTTCTCCTTAGCAGTAAGTGTGAAGAGCTGAACTCAATATTATTTCAAAAACTGGTTTTCAATTTCAGGTTCATTTGAAATCCCATGGTTCAACTCCTGTGGTGGTTCCCAACAGCTGCCAACAAGAAGCAGGGTCCCCAGCCCAGTTCTGTGCACATGGACCTACAGGACCAGGATGGCTCAGGCATGAGTGCCCTGCATGCAGAGTGAATGAGGGGCTCTGGAGGATCAGCAACTGGATTCTGTATTCTGCTCTGAGAGGTATGTGAAGAAACCTCATTTCAAGATGGAATTATTACCGCAGTGACGGTGGCACAATTAGCGATCACTCGCCTGACCTTGAAATAATCAGCACATCAACAGACACCACACTTCTGTGTCTTCTGGGGTTTTAATTCTGGAAATGAAAGTTTCTGCTGTTTGAAATTAAGTCTGGCACGAAGCAGAGCCGTTACCAGAGCTACAGAGTAAGACAAGTTCCAGCTCAGAATAACAGCATTGCTTTATATGTTTACTGCTACGTATCCAGTAGAGATACTTAATGAAATTCACTTTGAAATCTCTGCTGTGAGAGCAAGCCATGAGAGCCACAAGAAAATTCCATTAGGGTTCTTCTCACCTCCACTCAACCTCAGCAGTGGCGGAGCACCGCACAGCACCTGACGGAACGTGGCCGGGCCCCTCTCCATTCCCAGCAGGTCTGTTTCTGCAGGGGCAGCCCAGCAGCACGCAGAAGGTCCTTGCGTGTCCTTACAGCCCTTCCTTGAGACGAGAGAAGCAGCGTGATGTTCTCAAGCTGGCAATACTCAGCCTATCGAACACGATCTCATGTGCTTGTGAATAACAGTACTTTGGTGCAAACCTTTAAAGCGTTGGAACGTTTTCTTTAAGCACACTTTTCTATTGTAAGGTTCGTACATAAAAGCTTAACCTAGAAAAATCTGCAGAAACGACTCCTATGAGACATTCTCAAAAGCTTCGTAACGCTTATGAGCAGACAAAGATTGCCAAAACAGCACAGAACCATTCATTGCATTGGGACACCATCCTCAAAACGGAATGCTGCTCTGCTCCCCCTGGGCTCCTCTGGCCCCAGGCAGGTGAGCATCCTCCCCAACCCCCCCGGGATCCCCAGACACTCTGCATTCTGCATCAACTCACCTTATGATATTTCAACACAGGATGCTCAACTGCTGCAAGGAAATCAAAATAGCTGAAAGGCTTCCCAAGATGAGTCAGCAAAGCCAGCATTTTACTCTCAATTCCTTCCACAACACGAGGCAGCGACAGCCAGACGATTCAACAGATTGGGGCACCTGCTTTTTCTTCAAGCTTGCGCCATGAGAACCTTGTCCTTCATGCAAGTTTTGTAACAAATGCTTTCTTTCAGCTGCATCCCAGCCCATCCCCAGCCACCCCACAGAGCCATGGCTGCCCCACAGAGCCCCCACTGAGCAGCCTCAGTGCTCCAAGAAGCAAGGATGGGAGCAGCACACAGCCAAACCCATCTGCAGGCTCCTCATTCGCCTTCCTCAACACAAGGTCTCCACAGGACACAGCTAATGACTTTTTCCACCTTAAAATAAGCGGACCCATGCTGTGCTAGGTCACAACCTCACTTAGCTTTGTGTAGGAAGGCTCAAGACAAGTTAAAAGAGAAGGAAAATAAATATTTTAAAACTGAAATTAGTCATATGGTTTCATGTCAACTTCCTAACGTGCACCACCAGCTTCTCTCATTTTTATTTCTTTCCTGCTCAGATCGAATCATCGGTGTGTCACCCTGAAGTAGCAATATTCAAGTTTAGCCTTAGGCAAGCAAGGGAGATGATTTTAAGATGGAACTAGAATACAAAATAAGATAGATTTCTTTATCCTGATTATACACAGCATACGTCACTCAGGACCATTCCTTTGTTTTTCAATTGTTTAAGTCTCCATCATTTGACATAAAGTTTGCTTACTTCCAGATTTAATTATCAGCACAGGATGCTGCTTAAGGGCAGGTGCCCATTAAGTCAGGAAACACTGCAGGATTAGCTACCAATTGTTCTCCTGGATGAGAAAGTGGGTATGAGCACTGGGAAATATTTCAGCTGGCCCATTATTATGAACCATTCCTCACAGCAGCTATTTACTGGCAGGCTCAGGCTATCAGAAACCCGAGGGCACGTCAATTATATCTGTGCCAGCACACCCTGAAGGAGAAAGCCTCTCACCTGGTTTGTTTTCCCCACCTCCCACAGCACTCTCCTGAATCAGAGATGTGCACCTATTCACAGGAATGCAGTTCTGCTGCCAACAAGGCTGCAGCTTGCTGCGTTACATGGGGCTCACCCTCCAATGCCAAACGAGGTTTTTTATTCCAAGTAGAAACTTCATAATTGTTTTTCACACTTTAATACAGTTAGCACCAACAGCCCCATTTCCAGCAGCAGAAGGCTGCAGAAGGCTGCAGAAGGCTGCAGAAGGTGGCAACGTCATTGATTTTGCAGTGGTTACCCAATCATTAGCAGCAGTGTAACGAGCTGCAACTGAGCTTTCTCTGCTGCTTTGCACTGCTTTGCACACTTCATTCGCTGGCTCTGCTGCTCTTGCATCCTGTCAGTGATGTACTGCAACAATTTAATAAAAACGTCCATATCTGCACAATGTTTTGGAGAGACTGGAAGTTGAGCATTTAAATCACAACCATACCCAGGAGTAAGGCTCTAATTTTGTGGTCCTTTTGACAGAAATGCAAGTACCTGCAGTACTCTGGCTGCTTCTGCTGTTCTTGCTGCTTGTGTAAGAAAACCTCCCTGGAGACAGCCCTGCAAGTAGGGAACACCACACACAGCTGCCTGCAGCACCAAGTAGATTTGATGAAAGCAGGACAAGAGTACACACAAAGCAAACTTGAAGGGGCTCATTTTCCCAAATGGTGGGAGGCATTCACCTCCTTCCCAGAGAAGATTATACAATCATAGCATGGCCTGGGTTGAAAACGAGCACAGTGCTCATCCAGTTCCAACCCCCTGCTGTGTGCAGGTCGCCAACCAGCAGCCCAGGCTGCCCAGAGCCACATCCAGCCTGGCCTTGAATGCCTGCAGGGATGGGGCATCCACAGCCTCCTTGGGCAGCCTGTTCCAGTGAATGAAGATGCATGAGAACAAAGACTTTATAAATGCCTTTGAATTTGGAAAATATGCTTCCAAATTAACATTACCTTGCCTGCACACATTTTTCAAATATTGCTGGTAGGTCTTCTTGTGAAGACACAACAAGTGGCACAGCGGGTCAGAGAACAGAAGGGGAATCTACAACCCATTAATCCCATAGCTGTGAGTCTTGTATGAAGTGCTGCACAGTTGTTCCTGGAGAACCTTCTCTGTGCAGGTTCTGTAGAGCAGTAACACACGTACAATCACACTATCACTGCACTATTCAGTCCTTTTCCTGACCTGATTCAGAGGCACTGACCCACACGGGACCAAAACTTAACCAGCTGGACCACTGGAAGCCTCCCTCAACTCAAACAAAACACCAAGACTGATTTCAAAGACATTGTTGTCGTAGTTAACAGTGCACATTTAAGTTCCTTTTCCACCAAAGTTCTGCTTTCCACCATCTGCTCCTGTCATGTTCTCACCTGACCCATTTTTCAAACCGTCCTCTGCTGACCCCCATTTGTGACAGCAGCTCAGGTGATTCCCACCAGCAGAGCCTGAGGCACTCACTGCATCCAGATCTTCTCCAACATCTCTTTCTCGACCATGACTTGGATCGCTATTACTCTACTACTGATTACCCACTAACTACAAAAACAGGACAAGTGCCAGCCTTAGCTTTCAGAGTGCGTTATGTTATGGCTGTCAATTCATCAGAACCTTTTTAGCATATCTTGTGGTTCTACAATCAATCAGAACACATTCTGACTGATTCCTTCTTTTGTGAAGATAACCTGGACGGTTCTCTCTCACTCACACTGTTAATCCTGACGGCTTTTGTCCTTCCCAAGCTGCGTTGCCTGGAAGCACCACACTCTCAGCTGCTCCTTTAAAACTCCTTTTAAACAGACGTGGCTGTGGAAGTTAAAAGCTTTCCTGTGTTGGACTGCTTGCTTCTACCAGACAGCTGATCTGAACAACCCATCCTCACGGCAGCCACCTGCATTGCTGACCTCTGTGCAGGATTCACAGACTTGCTCCAGCCTTTCAGGTTATTTACTTTGCTCCAAAAAACAGAGGTCTGCAAGACAGAAAATCTCCAGTTCCCTGCAGCCAGCCCCACATCCAGCCAACACAGACAGAACTGCTGTCAATTTTCTGCCTGTGCAGCTTTTCAATCTCACTTAGCTTTTCACAGGCATTATCAGCGTGTTGTGAGGGCAGCTTCTGTCACAGCCACGAGATTATAAT